GTAGGGTACAGGGAGTGTGTCTGAAGTGCGTGCAAGCTCAGGGCCACGTGGGACACGTGGTCATTTTCACTAACCCCCCGCAGTCTTGTGTGTGCGTCAATTCACACAGGAGAGGGGACTCGAGACGGGACCCTCAGGGCTCTGGCCCTCTCGCCCCCTGCCCTGGGATGGTCACTGTCCCTTCTTGCTCTCCCCGGCCCCCACCCGGCACCACCCTGCAGCCTGAAGGTGACAGATGCTGAGCGCTCACTCTGGTGCCAGAGGCGGGGCCAAGTGCGATGGCACCACTGCCAGGCTCCAGCCTCACAATTCAGGGGTGCAGCAGGCGGGAGGAAGGCCGGGGTCAGGCTTGGCCTCCACTCAGAGGATGGACACGGGGGTGGGGCAATCTGAGGCCACCCCCTTCCCTCGGCCAGGGCATGAGCCTCGGGGCAGGGCTGCCCACTCCTCCCCACACGCGCCGTGGGGGGACCTGCTGCTTACTCAAAGTCACCGTCTCGGTACTTGCCGAAGGCCTGGAGGACCACGGTGCTGACAGCCATGAGCGGCTTCACCACGCAGAACTGCAGGGTGGCCTGTTGCAGAGAGAAGGTCAAGAGTCAAGGATAAGCACAGAAACCACGGAAGAAGCACCTCCTCTGGCCAGCTGGGCCTGGGCTGGATTCCAGGGGATGGGGGCAGCCCAGCCTCTTGCCCCTGGGGGAACTGCTGTCAGCAGGGGAAGGCAGAATACACAAGACAGTAACAGGGCGATGCAGCTGCGCGAGAAGACAGGAGGGTGTGAAGGAAGAATGGCGGAGACGCAGGAGACAGAGATTCCACCAGAGGAGGGGCCACCATGAATGTGCCAGGGATGGGGGAATGGGCAGAGGGAGCAGCTCATGCCAGGGGCATGAGCTCGGCCCAGGGGCAGAGAGTGGACAAGTGCAAGGGGTTAAGTGCTGGTGAGGGGCGGCAGCAGGGAGGTGGCCCCAGAGAGCAGAGGCAGGTGAGGGTCTCCTTGTCTACCCCAGGTCTGGCTCCCTGCCCCATGCTCTAGGCCTGGGTCCAGGGTTTATGTCAAGCTGGGGTCTTACTGGGGATGGAGATGACCCCACAGGAGCAGAATAGGAAGCAGCCTGAAGCCCAAGGTCAGGAGTCCCGACAGGTGTCTGAATTCTGGCCTCCCGCCAACTACCGCTGCGGAAGCCCGAGTGGGTGCTCACTCAGCCTCTGAGTGGTTGCTCACGGTAGATGGTTGTAACCAGCCCCGTGTTGCACGGTCGCTGTGCGGGGACTGGAGAACAAGACCGCACGGGGTGTCCTTGGAGGTCTCCCACTTCTGAGCACTCAGCAGAGGCCTCTGCCACGGAAAGAATCCCTCAGCCAGGTTTCCACAAGTCCCTACAGAGGCGCCAGTAAATGCCAGAGGTACCCTCGGTGCCCATAAAATCACTAGAAGCACGATTCTAAGCCACAAGGCTCCTTCTGTGGAGATGGGAGTCATTTACCAAGGCTAAGCTAGTGTGGCTCCAAATGGGACAAGGACCCCGGAGCAGAGAAAGTAACCTGTGGAACCCACAGTTTCTGTCCCGAAAGAGGCTTGAGTGCAGTTTGCAGGGGAGCCCGGGGCGGCCTGAGCCGTGTGGCTGCCAGGAGGAGAGGCGCGTGTGACAGGGGCTAGAGGGGCGATGCTGCTGTCAGCAAACCCCACAAAACTCCCCTGCCCCCCACCCCCTAGAGGAAGCGGGACCAGCACGCTTTGGGGAAAGGGAGGGTCAGCAGCGTGTCCCAAGCGAGGCTGCCGATAGGCCGGTGCTGCCCCAGGTCAGCTCACTTGGGGCTCACGACAGCCCCGTGACGTGTAAGTACTGTCAGCATCCTCAGGGTACAGATGAGGAAACTGAGGCACAGAGAAGCTGAAGTGGCAGAAGAGGCAAACTCTCCAGGAGACTCAGACCCGGGCGCCGGCACCGACGACAAAGCCGCGGTGTCCTCTCTCTCGTGAGAGAGCGGGGAGGAGGCTTCTTCAGTTCTTACCTTTTACTACCTGACCCTCTGCCACTTCCAGGAACAGCAGTGGAACATCAAAGCCCACAGGGCTGGGGAATAATTTGCAACAAGGCAACCCAGCCAGTGATCTGGGGTCAAAACTTCATACACAACATCACCATCAAAGAAGGGAGTGAGTCACAGCTAGGCCAGCACTGGTAAACAATGGCTCTGACAGGTCCCACCCTGAACCCAGGACAGTCTGAACTCCTTCCCTGCAGGTCCTGTGGGGAGGTTTTGAATTTAGAAACACCCTAGGGAAGGAGGATCTGGAAGCAGAACTGCAGACTGGGCCGTCCAGGCAGTGCTTTGTGGGTGCGTCTGCACTGCGGGCACGGCCCCGCCCAAAAGGGAGCAGAAAGGCCAGCCCTCCCGCAGGTCAAGGTGATGGGCCGTGGGTTTCATTTCCCCTCGTGACGACGCTCCATGATGCTGGACGGGCTGACAGGCCCTGTGGAGCCCCAGAGGAGACTAAATCGAGGTCATGCCAGCTGGGTGTGATGCCTGACTGCCTCCCGGGCAAGGGACAGCGGGCTCTGAGCCAGGGCTGTGTTAAGGGCTTTCCCTCACCTGTTCCTCAAACCATCCCTTGAGGTAAGTGTCATTACACTCATCTCACAGAAGAGGAAACCAAGGCTTAGAGAGGTTTCGTACTTTATCCAAAGTCACACAGTCACAGGAGAGGCTGGAATTCAAACTCAGATGGTCAGACACCCAGACCCATGCACTTACGCACAACACCACACTGCCCCCACCCAGGCCACTCGAGGCCACTGGGGCGGCAGCTCTGGAAACTGGAAGCTGCTAGACTGCCTGACAAGTGGGAAATGGGGGAAGGGACCAGAGGCTGCTCAGGCCTGTTTTGTCATGTTCTTTAATGCAGGAACCCTGCTGGCCTCTAGCCGCAGCTGATCAGAAGTTTTCAAACTGAGATTCTAGAATCGCCATGCGCTTCCTCAGACACACACACCACAACTCGGTCAAAGTGAGCAGGAGTCTGGGACCACTTCCTGTCCAGGGCTGCATCGGGCACTCCTGGGACACCTGTTGCTGCCCCTCTGAGCACACCCCACCCATGCAGGTGCATCCCTAACAGCTCAGGGAGTGGGTGCTGGGGCTTGGGGTGCCTCACAGGAAATGGGAACCCTGCAGGTGGGCCCTATGCCCGTCTTTGTCCCTATGTCAACCAGGGGCAGCACGGCCCCTGCAGCTGCTACTCCAGGGCACAGACCCGGGCTCCTGGTGCCTGGCCTGCAACTCGTGACCAGGGCAGTTGCTGGGGGTACCCACCTGCTTGCAGAACCGCAGAAATCCGATGGAGTAAGTCTTTCCCCAGAGGCAGCATGTGCCATACATACAGCTGGATCTGGAAGAGACAAGCAGAGAAGGGGTTGGTGAGCAAAGAGCCAGACTCAGGAAGGTAGGGCTGGGGGAGGCCGCCCTCACCCTCCTGCAGATCCAGACAAGCTGGGGTAGGGCGGGGTAGGGTGAGGATGGGGCTTGGATCCTGGGCAGTCTTTGAGCACAAGGCCAAGCACAGGGAGAGGAGCAGGAGAGTATTTGCATATGCAGTAGGGTATATGCAGGAGCGGGGAGACACTGACCTTGGGATAACAAACCAACTTAAAAGGCACTGAATGTAAAAACTACAAGAGGGAGAAACAGGCAAACAGGAAAGGACAGGAAGAGAGAGAAGGAGAAAGAGTCAGACAGGCCCTCCCAAGAGTTCCAATGAATGGCCTCGCTCAGGAAGTGTGGGAGAGGCAGAGGTCAAGGTCACGGGCAGAGATGGTCTGTGCGACCGGCTGATGCCAGAAGAGCTCGGAGAACGTCAGGCCCAGGAAACAGGGTGGTGTGGGGGGCTCTGGGGGGACTTCATACTCACTCGATGGGCTTCCCTCTGATCTCTGACATGATGGAACTTTCCCCCCCAAGGTATTCATAGCACAGGCTCAGGAAATTATAGATGACCAAGGCTGTGAAAACAATGTCCAGAGAAAAACCACTCAAATCAACAGGATGGATAAACAGATGGTGGAATTCTAAACAGCAACGAAAGTGAAAGAACCACAGTCACAGGAAGCGACGGGGAGGGAACCTCAGGGTCATAAGAATCCGCAGTGAATATTCCACTTGTAATCAAAATCAGTCACGGCTAAATCATGCTGTTCAGGGATGTGCACACACACTGCTGGTCACACCACAAAGAAAGGCAAGAAAGTGATTACCACCAAATCCAGGACCGTGTGGGGAGCTGTGGGAGGGGAGCTCGGGACGGGATGCTGGGGGCTTGAGGAGCTGGCAGTGTGCGTGTTCTGGGTTTCGGCTTTACAGTTATTTATTAGCTTTATACACATTTCTGTTTGTGTGTCACAGATCACAATTTTATGACAAAGCAACAATAAAACTTTCTTCAGAGGGATCTCAGGAGAAATTCTCAGCAAGAATGAGATAGAACCCCTTATGCATTCAACAGCGTGTAGCGGCATCTCAGTGAGCACAGCATGATAAGCTGTAACAAAACCTATGAGAGGTGCACAAAATATAGTGCAAATTTCTTAGGAAGCTGGGCCAGCTCATCCTGAATCATGACACAGCTTGACATCACCCACAAAGATCCAAAATTTACAACAGCAACCTAGGGCACAGTAGAAGCATGCTATAAATGCTGCAAATACAGCACCATGTTGTAATTGGCCTCCTGGTCAGAGGACTTCTGCGGGGTCAGCAAATGCAGGCTGCTGCCTGCAGGGTGCTAGAAGCACACAGAAGTGCCGGGAGCCAGGGAGACAGGGCGTGGAGAGGAGGACAAGGTGCACAGCGGAGGACGCCACGGAGGAGGGGATGCAGGAGGCAGATCAGGGATCTAGCACAGGGGAACAGGAGACGCGTCCAGCGCAGGAGTGAGGCCAAGGGGAGGGTCAAGGTGGGGTCAGGGGATAATAAGATCAAGGGAGAGGCACCAGCAGCCCTGCAGCCAGCGGGCTCCTTCTCATCTGACCAGCCAACCCCGGTGCAGCAGGAGGGCCTTCAAGGCCCCCGGGTGCAGCCCCCTGGCTCAGCTCTAGATCTCTCACCAGGTGGCTTGGTCCCTGCCCACCCTTCACACTTCCTTCCCAGCAACACTAGGTGCCCCCTTCCCCTCGGCAGGGTCTCGTGCCCTCCTTGTTTCTGCCCTTGCAGATCCTACTGCCTGGACGCCCTGCCCTCTGACCTCCTAGTACCGTCAACCCGTCAGACACCACCCACCATGAGAAGTCCCCGGCCACCACCATGGGGGCTCGTGCGTACCCACCCACGGAACCTACCGGTTTGCGGACAGACGCTGTGCCCCCGCCCCGCCCGGGAGCCTGCTTCTCCCTCAAGCGTGGGCCCAGCCCTCGGCACATACTAACCACACCACAAACGCTTGACTGCCTGAAACTGGAACACAGGAAATCCTGGCCGTACGTTTGGAGGTAGCAGTTGGCCTTCAGCAATGTGGAAAGGAATATATTTGAGGGCTGTACGCCCCTCAGTTGCTCTAACCTAGTAAGGTTTCACGTCTGGGGCTGGGGAACAGGGGCCCAAGTGGCACCCTGCATACGCATGACCCATAGCACCTGTCACCTGTGCTGCAACCGTCCCCCTAGAGACACACAGCAGAGGGTTTGCAGTGCGACTCTGCTGGGAGCCGCTCTGTGGCTCAGTTTCCTCATCTGTTAAAATGGGGACAGAAAGAGCCCCTACGGAGTAAGGAGGTGGTAGGATTTCAGTGAGTATGCAAAGTGCTCAGAAGAGTGGCCAGCACTCTCAGTGTTGGCTGTCACGGCCACTATTGTTTATCTGCCCGCCTTCCTCAGGGGCCTGCCGTCCCCTGACGGGGCTGAGGGCCCTGTGAGCTGCCTGTCCGACACGGAAGCAGCTCAGGATATTTGGTGGCTGCAGGAATCTCCACTGACTGGGCTCCAGATCACTCTCCACTGACAGAGACTTTGGGGTATCTGAAGGCAGGGGGGTGAGGGGGCGGGGGGACACCAAGCCCAGTCTGATATCAGCCTGCTAATAACCTTTGTCCAAAACCATATAAGGCCAAGTAGAGCAGATGTGCCCATTCCAGTCTGGGTCCAGCTATATTGTGGTTGATGGTATTTTCCAGAGGCAGCCACATCCCATGACAACGACACTCCTCTGAGAACATGGGGTCTTCTTCCCTCTTTTTGCATCTGGGTGAACTGGGGTGACCACAGCGGAAGCGAAGCTTGGTGACATCTGATGCTGGGGTTAGAAAAGGCCTCTTTCTTCTGGCTCTTCCTCTCTTGAGACGCTTGCCCTTGGACCCAGCCACCATGCGGCGAGGAAGCCCATGCTGGCCCACGTGGGGAGTCCACATGGAGAGGCTCATGTGGGGGAGGAACTGAGGCCCCCAGCTGACATCAGTATCAACTGCCAGACACGTAAGTAAACCAGACATCAGATGACCCCTCCCCCAGCCTTCAGGTCTCCAGCTGAGGCCCGGGTACCATGGAGCAGGACCAAAGTGTCCCCAACATGCCCTGTCCAAATTCCTGATGTGCAGTATCCATGAACACAATACGTGGCTGTTTTACACTAGTCTGTTTTGGGGTAGTTATGTACACAGCTACAGTAAGTGGGATGTACATAAAACCACTTCCGGAGTTCCCAGGACACGCCGTGATCTCTCACACCTCCCCTTAGTGGCACATCCCGATCGCTCTGCTAAACCCCAGAGGCAGACCCAGCTCAGATGCCACCTTGTCCTTGGCGGCCTCCCCTGTCCTGTTGCCATGCTCACATCACACCCCACAATCTCTCTGCTGATCTGTTTGATCCTTCCAGTGCAAGAGGCAGCATAAAGCAGCCAGAAAGCCATGGATCCCGGAGCCAGACTGCCTGGGTGTGAATCATGGTTCCACCACTTAGGAGCTGTGAGGTCTCAGGCAAGTTTCTTAAGTGCTCTGTGCCTCGGTTTCCTCATCTCTAAGCCGGGGATAACAACAGCTTCTTCCTGGTGAGGCTGCTGTGAGGATGGGCCTTAGGGGTGGGAGTGTGATGCCTTATCTACAAGGCTGTGCTCACAATGAACAGTCAATAGTGTTACCCACTGTCTTCTGTAAACACTGTAAACACCTTGCGGGCAGGAACCGAGGCCCACCCACAACAACTACCAAAGGGCTTGACACTTCCATACTCAATCAACGGAAGGAACAAACAAACGAACGACTGGATGGACACAGGCCACAGCTCCAGGTGAGGCTCAGAGAGGTGGGGCAGGCGGGTATGGCCAACACTCAGTCTTGCTCTCAAGGAGCTCACCCTGTCACAGCCTGGGAAGCTGCACCTTCCCCAAGGTGATCAGACTCCCAATCCCCAAAGACAAAACCCTCAGGCGAGGCCACAGGGGCCCAAGGTTCATCAGCCTCTCTGTCCAGAACCACCAAGTTAGGCCGTCCTGCAATCCACTCCTGGGAAGAGCTTGGTGCCTGAGCTCACATCCTTTCCTGTGTCACAACACACGCGGCACGCTCCTGATTACGTGGTCCACCTGTCTGTCCATATGCAGCTCTGCATTCAACTGGTCAGATCATCAAATTTCATCCATCTCTCTCAGTTCAGGACTTTTGACCTTTTCACAGTGCTATGGGGCCAGACAGTCTGGCCAAATGCCAGTTTGCTGACGGTGTCTGTTAAAGAGTCATTAGTGAGTCAATAATGCATCTCGGAGAAGGGAGACAAGACAGAATCTCCTCGAGATGACTCAACCAGCCCACACCAAGACCCATCGACCATCTGGACAAATCAATGCCCTTCCGAGGAAATTACAGAGCCATGCAAAATACCACCCCACCCCCACCCCAGCAGGTGTGTTTAAACTGGACAACTCAACACACACCCCAGGAACAAACACAGAGATATGCTGGCTCTGGACATCAGAAGAGCAAAAAAGATTACGAGTGGGGTTCTCGGCCAGCAGCACTGTTGCCTGACCACGCTTCTGACCACAGCTCCAGCTCTGGTCCCCTGGAGAGGCCCCAGACACACAAGTGACCAAGGGGCCCACAGGGAGCATCCAGCATGAGGGAAGGGATGGGTTCCCACCCACCCCACCCCACCCCACCCCGGCCTCTCTCTCTCTCGCCCTGGAAAATCAGGTACCTGGAACTTTCAGCTCCATTCTAGATACCAAATCTTAAAGGAACTAGAGACAAATGCACACAATCAGGGGCAAAGGACCAGAATGGAGATGAAAGGAGGATGGCACTGGAGACTTGAGGCCTGGAGAAAAGACATTAGGGATCATCCTCTTCATATAAGTGATGACCACCTTCGTCCAGAGGGTCAGACAGGACCCTCTCATCCCAGGGGCAGATCCTAGGAGTTCAGCTTAGTATAAGAAACAATTTCTGGGGCTTCCCTGGTGGCGCAGTGGTTGTGAGTCCACCTGCCGGTGCAGGGGACACGGGTTCGTGCCCTGGTCCGGGAAGATCCCACATGCCACGGAGCGGCTAAGCCCGTGAGCCATGGCCGCTGAGCCTGCGCGTCCGGAGCCTGTGCTCCGCAGCGGGAGAGGCCACAACAGTGAGAGGCCCGCGTACCGCAAAAAAAAAAAGAAAAGAAAGAAACAATTTCTGGCAGAGTCTTCAGAGATGAAAGGTAGTGAGCTCCCTGCCAGTGGAAGCATGCAATCAGAGGCTAGGCAGCCTCTGTCCCAAATCTGAAACCGGGACAGATTTCAGAAAATGAGGCATCAGTCTTTGCTTCTTTCATGCATGTAAAATCTCTTCCCTTAACAAGAGTTCACACTTTTGCAGGGGAGAAACTTGTCCTGTATTCCTTCACCAAGCCTGGCACAGAGCAATTCCTGGGCCTCAGAGACCCAGGGCTGAGTCCAGCCTCTGGCAATTACTCTCTGGGTAACTTGGGCAAGTTTCTTAGCCTACGTGAATTCTTTTTTCACATCTGTAAAACGGGGATG